GATTCCAGCACTAGCTTCTTACTCCTCCGTGGGAGCACACAGTAGGTCTCAGGGAAAAAATTCTTGATTGATGGGCTAGTTGGTCCCTGTTATTGAGGGAATATGAGCATCCTCTTCTGCAGATGAACTCATTTTGTAAATATTTGGAAATAAGAGCATGTTTTCAGTGGCTACAGTTTTGGAACTTAGATCAGGGCATCAGCTTATGTATTAGAGGTTGGGAAGCTGCTCTTGGTGCTAATTAGATCCACAGAACAAGGGACCTTGGCCACAAAGTCTGAGCTAGGCCCACAAGACTAGGTTCTGATGAATGGCTTCAGACACTGGGTTTATCTTGGTTAATGGAATTAATAAAGAAGACATGTCTAAATGTTCTTTGAATTGTCAATTTTGCTGTCAATCAATTTCATTGCAACAAACATCTTTGTAAAATTTTAACAAGGTAAGCTGAAGGCAGAGGGAGCCTCGCTGAGCTAACAATTCAGGCAGCTGGCTGCTCCCTGAAGGTGTATGAAATGCTTTGCTTGGGTCTTTTTTAGTAACAAGGAAAGAAGGTTATTAACTTTGTTCAGAACCCTTTGAGTCTACAGGATCTCTAGGCATCTTCCACACCAATGTTTACAATGTCAGTACATGGAACGGCTCTTAAGGGTTGACATTTGAAAAACTTAAAAGTAATTTTTGCCTCCATGTAGACATTTTACAGAGCAGAAAGTAATTAAATATTTTAAAGGCTAAACTAGACATTTTCAGTAAAAGAACTTTCCTTTCAGGGTATGTATTTTTTTTTTNAGAGAGAGAGAAGAGGAGACGCCATAACTGCCCCTGCATTCCCCGTTTGGAATTTAGATGGCACATTTGTTTTCATTACCCGCTTCCTGGTCTTGTCCTTAAGGAAGGGCTTGATCAGTGTGTACAGGGCATGAATGTACCAGGGTTGGTTGACAAAATGGACTCCTCCAAAGCGGGCAGGAAAGCTGTCCTGGGTGGAAAGAGAGAAACACACACCAATTAATAAGCACTCCTGGTTAGACCAGACCAGCAGGACTGCAACTCCGAAGAACAACCAGTTTCTTCTCTCTAGTTGGAGCTCCAGCTTCATGGTGGTGAAAGAAAGAAAACCCACTTACTTCCCAGCTGTTAAAGTCTCCTCTATTCCCCTTGCCTCCCTCCTCCCCCTTTGGCTCCACAACTTAAAATGTGTGCATAGGTGACAGGCCTGTCTTCCCTGAATCATGATTATGTGACCTCCTACAGGGCACAGAGCTATGTGACCTGGATCGCAAGGGGAGTGTGGATTTTTCACAGCGTTAGGTAACCCAGGCTTCAGCTCCCACGGACTCTGAGCACAAGGTTCTCTACCCTCCTCCCCCTCTCTCCACCTGCATTATCATGACAATAGCTGAACTTTCTGGGTGAGTGAGTGCTGGCTGTGTAGCAAGGGTTACAAAAGGATTTCAAAGAGTCTTAATAAGTTGGGCTCTCAAGAATAGATCAAAGTCGAACAAGGTTTGCCATCAACATCTTCAGAGATTCCAGCACTAGCTTCTTACTCCTCCGTGGGAGCACACAGTAGGTCTCAGGGAAAAAAT